TATGTTCTTGTTTGTTTATGTATGTTTTGTGTTTGTTGTAAAGAATAAAAAATTTTATTAAAAAAAAATATATACTTGCTCTATTTTGTGATCTTCTGCAGTGAGTGAAGTGCTGTCATTGCTTGCCTAAAAGGCCCCCCCCCCCCCCCAGTTCTGTGCTTCTGGGTGTCTACCTATATTACATTCTATGCATAAATAGAGGTGTGTTTAGAATGCCCTTGGGTTAATGTGTGTACATACTAGACTACACCTATTAATTGCTATAACTGCCAAATCTAGATCGTAAACTATAAATTTGTTTCCATGATGATTTTGCTTTACTAATTACTTATAGAATTATTGTAACTATCTCAGTTTTTGTCATTAACTCTGAGAAAAGCAACCTCACCAAAACTTTGTAAAAGTAGCTTAGCTTTGTGGCAATTTAATTTGCAGGTGTTAATTCATAGATGCCAGTTAATGGTTGAACAAATATAAAAGAGTGTGTACATGATCTAGCACTTAAATATTTACTGTTGAATGTATGTGAGAATGAATTTAGTGTCCTAGTTTTAAAAAAAGTAAGGTGGATGAAAAAAAAATAATATTAGTATCCAAGGAGGGAATTAGATAACGTTTACCCATTTTTTATATATTTTTGCAGGAAAAGTTATTAAAATATTAACATTTTGCATTAATGACCAATTGTACATGACAGTTTGCAATTTCTCCTACATTGTTTTAAGTCTTATAGAATGAGAAGTATATAAGCTGTTTTACAAAAGATTCAAAATATTTCATTAATTATTACAAAGTACACTTGCCACTTTCAGAATTAGAAAAATATATATGGACAGCAATTATTTTATTGTTTATATTTTTAATCAGTTCAGTAACCAAACTTGTCTGGGTGGATTACAAATTTCCTACAAAAGCCTACATGTCACACTATTTTTTCAAATACAATTAAAGAAAGATGTGACTTGTTAGATAAGCTGTCATTAAAAAATGTATATTTAATATGACATTGGTGCAATTCTTGATTGGTAGGTATTGATGGTCCAGCTGCTTTTCAAGATGAAGTACAGGTAGCAGGGAGCCAAGTTCAAATTCTTACTGTTGGAGAAACTTGCCAAGATGAGGATGATGGAGAGGTAATAGCTACCAGTCAACAACAAGGCAAACAAGACCTTAGAGTAACAATGCAGAAGAAAGGTAAGGAGTCAGTGAAATCTTCAAATATTTTTGGCTTTTTCATGGTGTCTGCAGGGTGAGGATTGAAGAGCAAATGAGGACCTATGCATTTTGATGTCATCGCACACACACACACACACACATACTTGCATCAGACTTCATGATATGACTGAAACAAGTTACATAATTATATCATGTATAGTTGGCATTGTGGCAGCTGTGTTAGTATTTTGATCTGATTGTGACTTGTTACAGATGCTGTTGTTCCTTTTTATATGATTTATAGTTTACCTGTATTTAGAACTAAAAGAAAGTTCACAGAAAAATTAGGAAACTGAGACCATGGTTTGGGAATGGTTTCTTTTGCTCTGTTGTTGGTCTCTCTGCTGCTGATTTGCAGGATGGAAGGGGATTTTGAGACCTCAGGAAGGGACATTGCATTTGATTGTTGTTATAATAGTTTTTATCTCTTTGGTGGTGGTTGCTTTTGGTTTTTAATTCATTGTTAGCTACCCATAGTTGTGTTTGTGAAATGGGTGGCCATATAAATTGTTTAAATAAAATGAATTAAGTAAAAATAAGCAAGGCCTGAAAGTAGAAGGTATATGAAAGGGGAGGAGGGCAGCTGAAAAGGGATTAGGTTCTCCATCTTTCCTCTTGTATCCATCAGACTTGGTAGTCACATATCTAGTACTGTGGCAAAATATTGAGGTAGTACAAGAGCTTCAAAAGAAATGTTTCCCAAAATGCAGAACTGTGCGAGCAGGCATTCTTTTGGAATGATCAGTTAGGTAAAAAACAAGACAGGGGTCCATACAGCTTGTGGGTAGGTGTTACTTAGTGCCAGTAAATTATGCAATATACAAAGCTGAAGTTTCATTATATGCTATCTGTCCCTCCATACTAAAAACGCTAATGGATTCTATCATGTTCTGGGAAGATCAAATGCAGCAAATAGGAGAACTTAATTTGAAGCCATGGACATGCTACTGGCAGTAAGCAAGATTTGCAAAATAGATAGTCATGTTTGGCAGCCGGTTATCTCCCTCCAAGTGATACTTGAAATATGTGTGATTCTTCCCATGTCATTGCCTTTCCACCCACCATCTATTAGGCAACAGAAGGAAATTACAAAAATGTCTGGCAGGAAAAAAAAATGTACTAATATGTCTTAGAATTGTTTGGTCCTGCATTGAAGTTATCTGCTCAAAATGTTTGGTGGTAGCACCATGAGTTCAACATTAACAAATGCATGTTTTTCCCCCAGGAAGCATCCAGGAACTTTTGTAATGCTGTAGATAAATTGAGTGGGCAGGAAATACGGATTAGGCAGAAATACAGCAAGTGCTTCATGTAATACTGTTACCAAAATATATCACTAGCAGCATCAGTTATTGGGAAATATTCTGCTCTTTAGATTTCACTTTTTTTTCAGTGAATCAAGTTAAAGGAACAAGTAACCTATCGTTACATTTTACCAGAGTTTCATTTCTTAAATACTGTTAATACTGTTAATGTTATTGTAAGAATATGAGCGCAAGCAGACATTAGTAGATCTTACATAGCCTTAAAAGCATCATATTGATAGACAATTGCTACATTGCATAATAAGAGAAGCGTAAATACCTTAGTTTTGCATCTATATGCACTTGGGATTTAAGATCCACTGAATTCAGTGCTACTGAATTGGCAAGTACAGAATTATGCTGTACAGTACAAACCTTTGAAGTTTTGTGGGTACACAATTGAAAAAGAAATGTTGAAAGGCCCATTTCACATTTTTCTTATATATGTAAGAATAAGATGCAGAATGCACTGGCACAGGAATCGTCGTGTTGAGTTGAACTGGTTTGCCTAATCCAAGGTTTTGCCCTGTAAGCAGGGTATAAAGGCAATTTCACTGTTCTGCAATCAGAGGTATGTTTTTTCTAGCAGCTCAAGGCTGATGGAGATGTAAATAAATACAGTAAATAAAATGCATGTTCTGGGAGCAAGCAGTTTGATTATGCAGTAGTCATATGGTCTATAAATATGATGACTATTTTTTAGGCATTTCAAGTAGCATGAATTTTGATGAAGAGGAGGATGAGGAGGATGAAGACAGCTCAAGTTCCTCACAGTTAAATAGTAATACCCGACCAGGTTCTGCAACAAGCAAGAAATCAAATAAGGTGAGTGATCTGGTGTGATGGACTTAAACATACCTCAGATTACCTAAACCAGTCATTTAAAGCAACAAAATCCTTTAGACTTAACCCGTCTGTATGGATTCTTCATAACAATTCTTTGTAGCAAAAGATTTCATGTCTGTCCTGTGCTCTTTGCTGATGTACAGAACCATTTCTCGTTTTACTTATTCTTTTCATTTTTTGAATGCAGATGTAGCACCACGTCTGTAGTGTGATATCTCATGGAATATGAAGTTGGAGCAAGGAATCACTTCCACACAGATTCCTTGCAATTTCTCTCCCTAATTCTTCCATGTATACAAAGAGCTGAATAAAATTTTACATAATTGGAAGGGCAAAAATTTCACAACAGAAATCTGATAGCATTGTTGTGAATGGTAGATGGTAGGTGGAACTGGCACTGCTGATGAAGAATATTTTTAGAAAAAATGTAGCATATAAAGTAGAAAAGGTAAAAAAAATATACAGCCACAGTTAAGATGTGGCCTCACCAGTGCAGTTTCACTACAGGACCATTGTGTGCAAATTGACTAGTTTTAAACCTCTAGTTGCCTGTCTCCTAAATATACTTTTGTTTTTATTTGAAGTTGAAACATTCATTTATAACTGTGAAAATCATTTCAGTGAAGGAAAGGCAGCCAGCATTATATATATTGTATATGCAATACAATATTTCCTATTCACTTTATTTCTCACTTTGTCCTTTTCCATAGATATTATCGTATATCCATAATATGATATAGTAATATTATGTTTGTACGGAGGAAATGCCAGTTCAAATAGGCACCAAGAATAGCCTAGGGCAGTAGGGTGACCATGAATGTGTTATTCTTTGTCTGCAACACCAAAGAATATTCTTGCTTTGCAAAAACAAAATTCAAGAAATATCTTGAGATGGGGTGCTTTACGGTGATACAGCAAAAGACATTTAGAGCATCTGTTTCTGGACCGTAAAATAGGGATGGGCTGAAATTATCTGAATAACATAAGGGATCACACAGTGATAGTTTCCTCAATCCTTGCTTTGTAGGCCTGAACAGAATCTTCATGAGGGTCAGCATCGCTACCTTTTCTTCTGCATATATTTGCAGTGAGCATAGGCTAGGCATCCCATTGAATTATTTGCTTTGGGGAGCAAATTTCTCATCCAGCGAATGTTAATGCTGATTTTTTTGTTAACATTTCCCATTGGTTTGTTTTTAAATAAGTTTGGGCCCAGAGACAGTGATGACAGTGTTATGTTCTTTAAAACTTAAAGATAGGAGAGGCTCTGTGACTAGCCCCTAAAGTTTATAAAGTCAGTGTAGCCCATCCCTTCTGTCCTCACTGCAGTGTCCCCACCCTGCAAGGCTAATGTTGTTCATACCATTGATCTGTTGCCTACAAAATTCCTAAATTTACTCCCAACAGGATCCATGGTTTTTAACAACTAGCCTGGAAAATAGCAAAACAAGTATATTGGTGATGAAACATTTTATCAAATACTGTACTTTATCTTGTATAATAAATAGCCAGGGATTAAATATAGTTAGGGGAGAGTTTCAGTATCATTAACTTTCAAATTACCAAGTTAGATTGCTCTCAAAATTTATTATAATGTTGACTATTCTTTGACAAATACTCCTTTTCTTCAGTTTTGTTCCGATACCATCCAGCTGCTATCAGCACTACTAAGTCGTGCTACATTAGGTTAAACAGGTTAAAGCCTATTGAGATTCTTCTGAGCTGGTTATCATCATTAACCTTCTGATCAAGACTTCATAAATTTTCAAAGGGTGTTCTTTGCTCCAACAAAGGTTTGAGTGAAGCACTCCTGGAAACATGGTTTGCAAAACAGTGTGGCCCCCTTGATTCCAGGATCAAAGAAAAGCAGGCACATTGCTTTGCTTTGCTCTGTTTCATTTATGCCGAGCATAACCTCATCTGATGTTTGTAATACCTGGAAGAGGCTTCTATTTTATGCTTGTGCAGAAGCCTGTTCCGGGATTACAAGTGATCAAGGAGGCTATGTAGAGAAGAGACAATGAGTAGGCTGAAAAGCAACACAAGATGCTTCTTCAAGACACATTGAGTACATCTTTCCAGGTCACACCCAGTTTTGTGCCACTGTATTACATTCTCCCATGTGTTCTTTTGTGTGGAAAGTGAGCTGTTCAGAATACCTGTATCCCCTGGGTTTCTTATAATGCCTCTACAGTGCTAGATTTCCATTCAGATTTATCTCCACATTAATGTGATTTGGCTGTTTGTATTTTAGATGTGACACAGCTTTTCTTACACTTCTAGGAAACAGCATCAGGGCCCAGCCCTTCAACAAATAACCCTGTAATAGACGTGGATGATTTGGAGGAGTTTGCTGTGAGACCTGCTCCTCAGGGTGTTACTGTCAAATGCCGAATCACAAGAGACAAGAAGGGAATGGACCGTGGAATGTACCCTACTTATTACCTCCATCTAGAAAGGGAGGATGGTAAAAAGGTCATAAAGCATATTTTCTTGGTTGTGTAAAAAACAATAGTACAAAACACACAGAACTAGAAGTTGCATAATTATAGGTGTACAAAAATTGTTTTTTTGGTTTTTCTCATACTTGTAATGTATGATAAAATAGATGAGAATACAGTATGTTCTGAAGAGCAGAAAGAATATCTGAGAAAAATTTATATGGACATGCTTTAGGCTACAGTCTTTTTTGTTGTAAGTCCCATTAAACTAAGTGAAACTTGTTTTTGAGAAGATTGCATTGCAGAACTGGAAATCAATCTCCTCTGTGTCATACTTCCTTCATGATTATAGTGTAAGTACTGAATTGTTCTTCATGTATCAGCATTCAATTTCTGAACTTCACAACTCTCAAATTCAACAATAAGAACATTCTTGCTGAACTGGGCCAAGATCTATCTTAGTCCAGCATTTTACTTCTCACAGTAGCCAGTCAGATGCCCCTGGGATGCTCACATATCATTTTCCCACAGTTGTTATCCTGCAGCTCATATTGGCTGGCAGGCTGCTCCCAACCCGGAGGTAACATTGAACTTCATGAGTGATGGCCCCTGAAAGTCCTTTTATCCATGAATTTATCCAGCCACTAAGACAAACTCTTTAGAAAAAGGAGATGTAGTTGGAAACTCGCAAACAGGAATAGGGGAGTTTTCCATGGCACTTTAGCAAGGAGAAGAACAAGCTAACTTCAGATGCTGCAGAAATGATGGACAGTGAAGAGAGAGCAGTGATAGTGACTTGTCAGGTAGGTGCTTTGTTTGTAATTTTAAGGAGGCCTGGCTTAGCAGCAGTACATGTGAAAAGGGTTTAGAAATACTATCAGCTGAATATGAGTAAGCTGCTACTAAGAAAGCCAATGGAATCTTGGGCGGTATTTGTAGAATCATTGCATCTAGATCATGGGAGATAATAGTGTGACTGTATTCTGTTCTGTTTAGACTGCATTTGAAATATCATGTCTGTTTCTGGACACTGCATTTCAAAATAGATGTGGATAAGTTGGAATGGGTTCAGAGGAGAGTTGCTAGAATGACAAAAGGTCAGGAATCCATGGGGATAGTTTAAAGGAGCTGGGGATATTTAGCTTGTAAAAGCAAAAGTTAAGGGGAGATAATGATACTAGCAGTCTAGAAATATCTAAAAGGAGTTACATGCAGGAGTGTGTGGACCTGAACTTTGTTGATTCTAAGAACAGGAAAGGGATCAACTAATTGAAATTGAAAGAAAGTAAATTGAGGTTGAATATCAGAATTTCATGACAGTAAGTTATTAAACAGTGGAAGAGTCTGCCTGGAGTAGCGGTGGACTCCCTCTTCCTGGAAGTTTTCAAATGGGCTAAGTGGTCAACTGTCTGGAATAATTGAGTAAATTCCTGCAATACATAGAACTAGACGACCTATCAGTCCCTTCCAACCCATACCTTCTATGATTCTAAGTTTATATGTATCCTTTTCAAATATTCTATATTAATTAAGGTGTCCTTTGGTATACTTTTAACAGAGGTATTTAAAAAGTTTTCAAACTCATTAGGACAAGTTACACTGATATTCTAGGCTTGAGCCATATGCAGATATTCAAAATGAAATAGGAACTGTGCTTGCCCTTGTACTACTGGGTCTACCCCACTCAACACAGACATCCTGGCATATGGCAACTGCTACTGTTTTCTCCTGCTACTTGTTGGCACCATGTTCTTTCCCTTTGATCAACCGTGGTTATAGGAGTAAAGACAAAAGAAGGAGCATGCCTTCATCTTTCTGCTACTTTGCTAAACACCAGGCATCTTAAATCCAAGACCCAGTAATTAATTTGAAGAGGCCTAAGCTTCACCTGGCCTTGTACCAGATTACATCTTTGCCAAATGCAAATTCACAACAAAAATATCTGTTTTAAAAAATAGAGTTTAGTAGAACACACAAACAAAGAGAAGAACAGAGATGAGTATTTGGCTAAAAGAAAAAGAGTAGGTTTCAAAAGAGGAAGTATGATCACAGGGTAATAGGTAGCATCTAATTAAGCTTCAAAAAAAGATTAACTTTGAAGGAAACCAGGTGCTTGCCTCGGGCATGTACAAAATAAAATAAAATCCTAACACCACAGTATCTATTTACTGTACTTACTCAATGTACCTAAAAGTCTGTGTGGGTTAGATTTCTTCCTATTTCCTGACAAATTTCATCACAACCTGGGTGTGTGTGCGTGTTATATTCTGTTCTTTCCTTCCCCTATAGCCAAATCCAGCTTCAAAAAGTACTCTACTTCTTTGCTACTTAACTTCAAGGGGAGGGGAATTGTTCTTGCTCAGAGGTTTGACTAACCAACTCGCCTTTCCTTGCCTTCTAGAGGTAGATGGAATTGGTCTTTAGGTGTAATGGTATGTCAGAATGACCTTGGGAGACAGGAAGAAAAGCCACAGATTAGACAATGGTCAGATAAGAAGCAGCTGAGCCCGTAGAAGGAATGGGGGTGTGGTAAACATTCCAGAAGGGATCCTCCCTAGTTTCTTGGACTGTAAAGGCGAGAGGGGAGAGATGTACTTTCAGACCTCCAAGGTTCTGTTAATGGAACCTTACAATAAAGTTAGAGCTGGTACTTCTGGGTGTGCTTCTTGTCTGGACTGCTGCGTAAGACTGATAATAGGTCAGTTGTTGGGTATATTATGACTGAATGGGAATAATTGCTAGAGGTAACCCCCACCCCCATTATAGAGGTTGTCCTTTTTTTTTTTTTTTTGTCTCAGATATGGATAAAATACAAAGTCAGTTCACCCATTACCATTTGAGCATTATTTCCAGACACTCTGAAACTGGTAATGCATCATCTAACCAATTTGCATGGAAAATTCATGTTATGATAGCTTCGTGAGCAACAAATAGTACACCAAGTTATTTTCAGAGGCATCAGCAGCATTTCTGTTGGGATATTTAATTTTTGGGTCTATTCCAACAGGGACTGAACTTGGAACTTTCTGCATGCAAAGCATGCATTCTGTCATTGAGCACCTCTTTCTTGTTTTAGTGTGCTTTGATGTACAGATTGATTGTCTAGAAATCAATCATGCCTGAAACTGTATTGTGAATTGGCACATTGCAATCCATCCAGATGAGTCTAGCCTAAGGCTGAAAACAAATTTAAAAAACTAAACATTGTGTCGTGCTTTACAATTGATAGTTAGATTCATGAACATTACTGCTGTCCCTCCTGTAGTTACCCAACTGGAAGACAAGTCCATCCCCCTCCTTGCAAATAATTACCTATGAATTGATAGGTAAGGGGAGGGTCATCTTATATTCAGTGAGAAGAAAACATGGGTGTAGATATCAGTGCTGTAAATGCTTTTGAAGATAAGTTTGAAGATTATCCATTGTTGTTTGCCTGGTGAATTTAACTCTTTTTATACTGTCTAGATATAATGTCAAGATGTTGATAAATTTATGCTCCTTGAAAAAAATAAGAGAGTAAATGAGAATAAACATTACTTTAAACACTCTGTTTAAAACCTACTTTGTCCTTAGAGACTGTCATGTTTGGATACTTCAAATTATTAACAGCTGGCACTCTTCTGACCTGACCTGGCATTATGTTTTCCTTTCATTAGAAGGAGACTGTTAAGCAGAATGTAAACATTTAACAAAGTGTTCTAGGTTAATTATTTAAACCATCAATAATGGATCCAAATAGAGTAGTTTCCTCTACTGATTTTTCAACCCATTTTTGCTAATTCTCATTTTGGCCTTCTACATTTTTATTATTGATATTAAGTCATGAGAAAAACCTCATGTTTTCTTTAACCACTGGAAAAAGAAAACATGAGGTTTTTCTCATGACTTAATATCAGTAATAAAAATGTAGAAGGCCAAATGAAAATTAGCAAAAATGGGTTGAAAAATCAGTAGAGGAAACTACTCTCTTGGATCCATTATTGATGGTTTAAATAATTAACCTAGAACACTTTGTTAAATGTTTACCAGACTCTGCCTAGAATGTGACTTTTTTGTTTTACATGTTTTAGGTATTTTTATTAGCTGGAAGGAAGCGGAAAAAGAGCAAAACCTCAAATTACCTCATCTCCATTGACCCAACAGACCTGTCACGAGGAGGAGAGAGTTTCATTGGAAAATTAAGGTAAACATCTACCTTTAAAATGTATGCTAAAATGTGAAATAGTTTGGGATTTAAAAAAATCAAAGCCCTTGATGTTTGTGTACTATCATAGTGCTTGTATATCACATACTTTCCTTTGCTCTATTTTAAATATCCTTTTTTAATATATATAAATTTTATTAAATTTCCAAAAGGTTAAAATACAAGAAAGAAAGAAACAGACAGACAGACAGACAGACAGACATAGGAAAAGGAAAGTAGCTTTCGACTTTCCTTGGTACAAGTATAAATGTAAAATACATTCACCTCTTACTCTAGTATCTAAAAATTTACG